TCCCGCAGCCTCCCCCTGTGTTCGGGCGGCTGAAATGGCGTGAGATCCCCTCGGCCCAGCCGCCTCCACCCGCTGCTTTGCCCAGAGCGAACCGAAGCTCCGTGGGATCACGAGGGAGTTTCATTTTTGTTTCAGTAGGGTTTAAATGAGCATGAGAAAAGCTTCAGGGGTGATAATATCTGAGGCGCTGGAAGTGCAGAAATGAGATGTACGCACCGTTTCCACTCACTAACGCACAAGTGTTTTGTAGGCTAGGTGCAGCGTGTCAGCAGGTGTGCTTTAATCGCTGAGTAAAACCCCTGCATGCGAGCAGTCATATTTTCCTGGTGTGGGTAGAAAAGGAACGTTGGCTGTTGGAAGGGAACTGGCTAAAACATCGTGGTGGGCCACAGCTAGGTTTTCGTCTGATTGCCTGCCAAATGTTGCAAGATAGTAAATTCGATTCACAGGATCCAGCCAATCTCTGTTTGTCCTGAAACTTTTCACATCTTCTCGTCAGAATAAGGCATTGCTTTTTGTTAAAAAGTTTATTGGACTTTAAAAGTCACCCAGTAGCTTGATGGCGAGCATAGGTGTCTCTCTGCCACGGTTGATTAGACTTCACCGTCAGTTTGGTTTTGTGACGCGGTTTGTCCTTTCGCCCTCTCCCTCGGTCTTGCCGGTTGTGCGAGGGTAGGCCTTGCTGGTAAATCTCACAGCTCGTGTTTAGGTGTGAGGACAAAACTCTTGATAGTGCTCCTGCTAAATACATCGACAGACAGGAGAAAATGGCTCGGGAGCTGAAGGTTGTAGCCTAGAAACATCGGCCATTTATTTTTGTTTGAACACCCCGTGTTGGTCTGTGCAGCAGAGCACATCTGGCAGTGAACGCACTGAGCTATGGCAGGGAGCGGGCAGCTGCTCTTGTTGATTCAAGTCTAGTTAATTGCTAGTTAATGAACTTGCTTTGGGGGTCCAAGTTCATTCGGTTTCACTTACTGTTTGCAGACCGAGCTACTGGAGATACTGTAGCATATGCTGCAAAAGGAGTGATTCAAACAGCCTGAGAAAGAACAAACTTTGACATTTGTGCTGTTCCAGCTGCAGAGGAATTTGCTGATCCCTCTGTTCAGAGTTGTCTGTAAGCACACGCACGAAAAAGCCTCCCTTAAATAGGGGAGTTGAGAGGAGAAAGTTGCTCACCGCTCTTGAGTGCGGCTACCGTGATAATTTACCCCAGTAAATTATTACGTACTGGCGTACTGGTGGGAGGTGAAACAGGGAGGGGGTATTCCGAAGGCAGAGGCAATCGGTCTTATTTCCTCTGATGGACACAGGAGATCCCCTGTGCTGGTAACCAACTTGGAGAAGAATTTGGGTGGTGTAGAAACGTTCTTGAAATCAAATGTGTAAATTGCGTAGACGCGGTTATTTCACAATGGCACATCTAAAGAGTCCTGCGCAGGAGAGGGAGCAGCAACTTCTCGAGTCTGTTTCTAGGTCTCGCTGTTTGCTGCTTCCTTATCTTGCTGGGCAGGCAGGGGCAGCGTGGAGTGGATCGCTGGCGTTACTGCCTTGTGCTTGGGCCTTATCAGGTTGTTCTGCAGCAGCTGGAGGAGCGATCCCAGATGTGTTATCAGAGCAAACCCGTGTGGCTGGCATCCTCTCCTCTTTTGGGAAATCCATTGACTTTCTTTAAGGGCCTGTGCCAATTTGAATGTAGCAGTAATAAAGGGAAATATAGTTATTTTTAGACCTGTTAAATTTCTGCCATGTTGAGCCTGGCTTTGCCAGCGTGGGGTTTCGAGTGGTTGTCTTTGCCTGCGGTGGCTGTTCCGCCTCGGCCGTGGTTGGGGTTAGGTACAGGGTCTGTCGCTTCCTCTTTGACTCAGCGGTGCTGCGTGGCACCGCTTCTTCTCGAGCGCTGAAAAGTGAAGTAATTTCCTTTCGGGATCTCAAGCGCTCTGGGCTGCTGCTTGCTAACACAGTATGGTTGTGGAATATAAATTCTTCACTGACACCAGGAATTGTGAGGAAGAGTGAGTGTCGCAAACTCCTGAAGAATCCTGCTCCTGCACATGCAGGCTGTTTATTCCCATGTGTTCGGTCTTCAGTGTTAAAGGCCCCAAGGGTGGCAGTAGTTTTCTGTAACGACCATTGAGCGTGGGAGTGTAAAATTCTGGTATTGTGTGTTGCAGAATGACCCTCTTGTGTCTCCTTGACCTCTGCGTGATGTGAGCCCCAGACTGCGTAACAGCTTCCCATTCAGCCCTTCCCAAGCGACAGCGCCGCAGTGATTAGCCCTGCTGCAATCCCCTCCTTGTTTCTTTCATTAGGACACTTTGGCCCCTTGAGGGGGGTGGGGGAAGGCTTCCGGAACACGCAGCTATTTAAACACTGGTGTTTGAGTGCTGCTCTTCTGGGAAGGCCAGTGGTTTTGCTTTCACTTCACCCAGAACTACATCAGATGTTATCTAATGCTTTTGTCTCTACTGGGGATTAATTAGCGTTATCCAACTCTTTCATAAAGCCAAGTTCCAAACAGGCTCGGGCTTAACAATTTGCCTCACTAGCCTGGTGAAGGCAAACATCAGTGGTTTCGGGTCTTTTTGGCTCTGTAATCGTGGCATGCGTTTGGGACGATGGGCTGCAGGACTCTTCTCTTCCGCCCCATCACACTAAAGGCACTCTTTGCAGCTTTATGTACCACTTTCTTTTCTCATTCAGTATTTCTTCTCCCGTAGGACTATATTTGCCCACGGTGTGAATCTGGTTTTATTGAAGAACTTCCTGAAGAGCCGAGGTAATGTGCTGCCCCAAAGACTATTGCTGGAATGAACTCAGTCTGCTTACTCTTTTCCTTTTTCTAGTTAAAAGGCAACGCTAGATACTAAATACACCATTTTTATTACTTCTGCCCAGTATTCGGCTCATCTTTCCTCACTATGGGTCTGTAGTGCTTAATTTGCAGAGTTTGCATCTGCAGGTAAATCAGCCATGGGAATGCTGAGTGTCATAGGTTGTTGGCAGGGGAGGAATGGGTTGATTTAAAACAAAGAAAAAGAAGTGGTAGAGAGGCTTTCCCCATGGCATGTGGCAGCTCTGAACTGGTTTGAGTTATCAGGGCAGAGATAACCCTCTGAGAGAGGAGTCTGTCGAGTGGAGAGTGTACGTATGCTTCAGTGTATAACTTAATAATGTGGAGTACTAACAGTGAAATATTTTGACTGAGACTTTGGACTCTGCACTGGAGCAGCTGAGATCGGCGTTCACGTGCTTTACTGCTGACTCAGTAGTGGGACTGATCTCTGGCAGCCTCGGAATGGGCAAGAGAAGGAGAAACGTCTTAAAATGTTTCAGACGCGTTTGCCGGACCTTGGCTGTGACTGGCTTAGGGACAGGGAATGTGCAGGCAGGCTTTCAGTGCAAGAGCACGCTGAGCTGCCTGGGGGCGTGCCAGACGCGTGTTGCTGCCTGCTGAGAGAGGTGGTCTTTACACGCTGAGGTTCCTGTACTGACAAGGTGGCGTTTGGTCTCACTACACCAACCTCAGAGGCTGAAAATCAATCCTGGCTAATCCCAACTGCATTGGTGATTTGCTGTGACCTTGGGAGAGTCGCGTGATCGCTGAACCTTAGTTTTTTGTTCCCATGCATGTCAAAGCGTAGACCTGGATACTGAGCGGTAAATGTTCCTGCAGCTCTCTAAAAGCAGAAGCCTAACAGCGTTAAGAGTTTTCCTAATAATCTGTCCCATTTGTTTACGTGCCTCTGCAATAGAGGAGTTCCTTTGATTCAAGATTAGACTTAAGCATGTTTGGGTCATAGTGATCAGGGTTTGTACCTTAAGTCTTCTCTTCCTGGTGCTCCAGAGGATTAGCTGATTTGTTTGAGGTGGATTGTGCAGGGAATCCTTGCTTGACGTTGTGGTTCAGTCATTTTTCTGTAGCTTCGTGAAATCAGAATGTAAAAGGGTGAGAGAGATGGGTGAAGATGTGGGAAAATGAAAGTTGCAGGGAGGGAAAAATGAAATCGATACAGACAATTAGAAAATCAGCAGCTGAGGGTGGGCTAGTTTCTGAATGGAGCTGACTCTGTCCCAGGGTGGAGGGGAAAGTGAGCAGATCTCTCAGGTCCCTTTGAGCCAGAGGCACAAAAATGAATCGTTGACTTTCTGCGTGCTGTTACCGAGCAGTCGTGGTGTCCACAGTTTCCTGTCCAACTCCTGTCCCTCGCTCCCCTCTGCTGGGAAAATCTTTTCATAGCACCCTTCTGAGGCTTACCTCAGGAACCTCTTCGTTCCTCACAGGAATGCTGACAATGAGACCAGCTCCTCTACGTCAACCAGTGATCAGAGCAGGCATCCTTTTGAGGTGAGTGAGTCCTCTCTGTCTCTTCCAACGCTTTCTGCTTTGCCATTGAAGTATTTTTCCACTAGTTCATTGCTTAAATGTTCCCCAGATGATGACAAAGTTTGGGAAGGGAGGTATTAATATCATCCACATGCTGCTCCTGAAATCTGTGTGTCATATTTTTACTGCGTGTTTTTAATAGGACCATCACTTGTAGCTTAGTCTTGTTGTGAGGGGGCTAAGCTGGGATTTAGTGAGCTGTCTGGGTGTGTTGCTATGCAGTAGCCTCAGCTTAAAAGGCAGCAGTTACATGCAGCAGCTAAAGAGAAACCAGGGAAGTTGCTGTTATTTCTTACCTTCCTATGTAGTTTCAGCCTGTGTCTGTTCCTCACTAAGCTGCCTCTGAGAGTGCGCTGATCTGCCTGCGTCAGCCAAGGCTCGTGAGTCGCTGGGGACCTGAAGCACTAGTCTTTGTTGGAAGGCTGGTGAAACACCAGCCATGAAAGCTAAGAGCTGTTTCTCTCCTTGTTTCAATCTGTACCCTGAATTCTCTCCCTCCCAGAACGTGGATCAGCCCTTATTCACCTTGCCACAGGGCTACGGCCAATTTGCCTTCGGGATCTTTGATGACAGCTTTGAGTTTCCGTTTGGGTCCAATGTGCAGCCGGAAGACAACAGGGACTCCGAGAGCCGGAGGGAGCGAGAGCACCAGTCTCGGCATCGATACGGTGCAAGGCAGCCCCGAGCCCGTCTCGCCACGCGCCGTGCTGCTGGCAGGCACGAGGGAGTTCCCACGCTAGAAGGGTGAGAACAACTGCCAGGTTCTTGGGGAGGAAGCTCTGTTACTGTTCACAGCGAGCTGAAAATCAGCCCGTACCTTTATCTCACCTTTAAGAGGCTGCTCCTGAGCACACATGTCCAGTGCGACTCTTCCATAGGTGCCCAGCTTTGCCCCCGTGGACTTGCGCTGCTGCGTGTTCAGGCTTCAGCTGGGCCAGCAGCCGTTGGCAAGCTCTTGCCTCAAGTTTACAGGGGCTATTTCACCCGGGCGGAGTGGAGCGGAGTGTGGTGTGGCTTGGAGTATTAAACCTGCAGGGAGAAAGCATTTCCTGGGCATTGCCAGGTATTACCAAAATGTGCTCGGTGTGAGGGGAAAGGACAGAAAGCACTGGACAACAAGACTGATGTTTCTTTAACTGGGGAGCCGCTTGCCATCTTTGTCAGAAATTACCCCCTTACGAATATAATACTGAACCTTCCCTTTATCAATGAATAATCGGTTCCTAAGGTAGTTGCTACAGGATATTTTTCCTTTTCCATCTGATGATGCAACAGTATTTACCCACTCCTTCCATGTCCTCTGTCTGGGCTGGGAGTTAGCAGACACCAGCTCTTAGGTAATCCTGGTTTTCTTGTCTTTCAGAATTATCCAGCAGCTGGTCAATGGGATTATTGCACCTACAACAATACCAAACCTGGGGCTAGGTCCTTGGTGAGTTGGAAGATGTACAGCTCTTTCTGACGGCGACGGTGTCGTACTCCCAGCTAAATTTAATTGTTGTCCTTATTCTTAAAGGGGAGTCTTGCATTCAAATCCAATGGACTATGCGTGGGGTGCCAACGGCTTGGATGCGATTATTACACAGGTAAAGTTGACGTTATGGTGGCGTCTCCTGTCCTCTCGGGCAGTGCTGCAAAGTTGCCAGCAGCTGGGCTGGTGCAGGGGGGCGAACGACGGGAAGTGCAGAAGTGGGGGATAAGGTCCACAGCGCACGCGATGCAGGGTTCAAGTGCCCTGGGTGAATAAATGAACAGATTCTGTGTGCTGCTGAGCTCACCTCTTTCTGCCTTCTGTGGCCTGTTGTTTTTTCAGTTACTGAATCAGTTTGAAAACACTGGACCGCCGCCAGCAGACAAAGAGAAGATCCAGGCCCTCCCCACCATACAAATTGCGCAGGAACACGTAGGTATGTCTGTCTGCTCCAGGGAATCGTTCACGAAGAGCGCTCTGAAAGTTCTGTTTGACGTTTTCTTGGGATTTTAGTTTTGTCTGCTAGCACCTTCAAGGCCTAAAACATTTCAAAGAGGGGAGAAAGCTGAAGTGTTGCTCTGTTATACTCACACACACGCAAAAAAAGAGTGGTGTAGACTGGATGGATTTGCCCTGGGGAGGCAAACTTTTGTGAAAACTTCAGTGTAGAACGAGATGAGAAAGCAGAAGGGAGAGGAAGGGAACAGTAAAGCAAACCCAGGGCAGTGAGAGGAGGGGTGACGGTGGTAGGAACGGCAGAGCAACAAGCTTTCCTCTGCCGGGATGAAGTGGTGGTGTGGGAAAGGGGAAAAGGTGATGGACTCCTCAGCGGGTGCTTTCAGTGTCGCTCTCCTGAATCGCTTAGCTCTGTTTTGCTTTCCCTTTACAGATTCTGGGTTGGAGTGTCCTGTGTGTAAAGAAGACTATACAGTCGGTGAAAATGTCCGGCAGTTACCTTGCAATCACCTGTTCCACAACAGCTGTATAGTCCCTTGGCTGGAACAGGTTAGTGTTGTCTGAGGGTGGCTTGGCCTTCGTAGCGCTTGGGGGTTTCTCTGGTAGTACTGTCCCCTCTAAATATTTTCATCCGTCCGTGATGAGGCCTGCACATGAGCAGCCTTTGATCAGAGGAAGGAGTGTCATCCTAGCCTTTTCCTTGAGTGCTGCTCCTGTATCGTGTTTCTAATCCTGTTTCCCGTATTTTTTGTTTTGTTTTTGTCTGCTCTCCAAAGCATGACACGTGTCCTGTGTGCCGGAAAAGCTTAAGTGGACAAAACACTGCCACAAACCCCCCAGGACTCACGGGGATGAACTTCTCGTCATCCTCCTCTTCCTCTTCCTCCAGCTCACCGAGTAATGAAAACTCATCGAACAACTCATGAATCTTAATCCAACCCTCTGTCCCTGGGGCCCCGTCCATTGCCCTTCCTCCCTCCCCAGCCAACGTAAGCCACGCGAGGGGCTTCCAGAGCAGAGCGAGGGGAGGGTAGCAAGGGGGAAGCAGCGCCCCCAGAATTCCCTTTTGAGTTCTGAAGACGCGGAGACTCTGGGTCCTTCAGAGATGAGAAGCCTCGAGTTCTGTGATGGGGGGAAAGAGCTCTGTCTATTAATAAAAACATCCATTTGCCGCGTGGACTTTTGACCATTGCAGTGAAAGGCTGCTCTGCCCCGCAGACGGGAAACCCGAGGTGCTGAGCTAGCGGTTGCAATTCTGAATGGAAAGGTTGTTTGTATGGTTTTGAATTTGAGATTTCTTCATTTCTTTTGCTCTTCCTCCTCCTCCCCTTGGATACTATCTCTTCTGCTTTGGAGATTGAAGTCTGTAAAATGAAAGCGTAATGATACTGCCTCCCTCCCGGGATCTCCAGCTGGGGAGGGCCGATAGTTGTCACTGAAAACATGAACTCTCGAAATAGACCCCGTTATCCTTTCCTTCCCCATCGCAAGTCCCATTTATTTTTCTTTATAACCTTGCCCTTCTGATACTCAACACTGAAAGGGTTTTTATAATTTTAAATTATTACTGCTCTTAAATAAACGGACGTTTCGGCTCAATGAGACATTTATGCATGATTTGAGGAAAACTACAGGGTAAGCTCTCCGGAGACTGCTGTGCTGAGCCGTCCCGTTTCACCCCAGGGCTTTCCGAGCCCTCCTGCGTGCCGAGCGCGGGTGCGCTGTGAGCTCCGGGCACCAGACTCCGCCGGGACCAGCACCCGTATGAGCGTGGCCAGCCTGCGGATCGTTGAGCGGTTGGCTGCAGGATTGCAGCTGAAAGCATCCTCGCCTGGTCTTTTGTATTTTTTACACCTTCTCCCTGTTGCAGTCCTGCCCTCTGTCAGCCTGAGCGGACTTTTCCTCTGTGTCGACACCAGGACTGGGCGTGCATCAGAGCAAGGACCAGCCAAATGTCATTGTGATCGAATAGTATACAGGAAAAACAACATTTTGGAGAAAAATGTATTTCAAAGCTACTTAAAATACAGCTGATTAAAAAAGGAGAGAGAGACAAATATCCAGGCGTGTTTGTGACTCACTTTCTGTGACAGAAGTGGAGAATGAAAAGAATGTGGCCGGAGCAGGCAGTGACTTACCGCTGCCCCCGTGCTGGCCCTGGGATTGCGTGGGGCTCTTGCCGTGGCCTTGGCCTCTCGTTCATGTCACTCTGAACCGCCTGGCCCGGGCGCCGTGGGGCAGATGCCGACTGACACCCTGTTGCGGCAGGGACCGGGAGGGGTCCGTGGGTCCCCTGAGTTGCTGCCCCGTGTCTGTATCGGCACTGGGCACCCCAGAGCAGGAGAGGGGGAGCTGCCCGGGTGGGGGCTGCTGGGTGGGTGAGGGGTCAACAGTCCAGGGGCTCCTTGTGTCTTTGCTGGCTTTTGGGGCCCTGGGGGTGGCCAGGGAAGGTGCTGGCCTCCCTCCCCAGGCACTCAGGGTCCTGACGCCAGCAGAGCTCTGGTGCTGCTTTCCAAGCAGCCTTCCCCGAGGCCCTGGCCCTTCTTCCCCAGAGCTTTCCGAGAAGGGAGGTGCCTCCTGCGGAGGGGGAAGGCAGGCACCTTGTCTGGTGTTTCTTGGGCCTTTTTGGAATAAAAGAAGAGAAGGTTCATTGGAGAACGCGTCCCAAACGTGGAGGGTGAGCAGCCTTTGTCGAGCCTCTGGTGCTGCTTTCCAAGCAGCCTTCCCCGAGGCCCTGGCCCTTCTTCCCCAGAGCTTTCCGAGAAGGGAGGTGCCTCCTGCGGAGGGGGAAGGCAGGCACCTTGTCTGGTGTTTCTTGGGCCTTTTTGGAATAAAAGAAGAGAAGGTTCATTGGAGAACGCGTCCCAAACGTGGAGGGTGAGCAGCCTTTGTCGAGCCTGCTGGGGCCATGCAGCCGGTGCTGAGCAACACTCCCGGAATGTTTTTCCTCCGTGGATTTGCCAGGGCAGCCCAGCGGTGCCTTTCATCTTGGTGGGCGGATGCCTGCGGGACGAGGGTTTATCTCAGGACTGGTATATCAGGGTTAATGGCTCATCCTCTGCCAGAGGTTGAGCCAGAAGCTTCTGCCACCGGCATCCTGGGCTTGGGAGGCGGGTGGCAGCAGGGTGTCCCTGGCTGAGCCTGCCTGTGCCCATCGGCTGGGCGGCACAGAGGGAAGGCTTTCCTGTTAGTCACCGAGACGCAGCCTGGGAGACCTGGAAAAACCTTCCTTCTCCTACTGCTGGCTGCGGCGAGGGGTTCCCGACTCCCTGGAGCTCAGGGGGGGATTTCTCACTGTAAGTAGCGCCCGGGTGGTTTTTCAGTGGGTGAAGTGAAGCCCGTGGTGGGTGCGTGGTGCTGCTGCCTGCCTGGCAGGGGCTCCCGGCCAGGACCAGTGCCCGCTGCGGTCACCACACGGTTAATGCGGTGGCTGTTCCCTTTCACAGACTCGTTTGGAGCTGGTTGGGTAAGAAATGGAACGAGTTTGGTGGTTTTTGCTGGGGCCATCGCTCAGTCTGACGTGACAGAGTGACCAGGCTGCGATGCTGTGGAGGGCAGCGCAGGAACATGCCCTGGCCGGGAGGCTGAGGCGCGGGTGTTATTTCTGGCCGCACTCCCCTCTAGCGAGGGGCTGGTCCCCGCCACCCTCTGCCTTCCTGGCTCCCTCTCTGCTGGGGACCATGGAGCGGAGCCAGG